TTTTATAATATATATTATATTATTATTAGTAGGTTATTATAGAAAGGAACTAACTAGATATAAATAAATAAGTAGAAAAATAATAAAATAAGAAGATAAGAGATTATTAGATCTAAAGAATATATAATAGATTATTATAATAATTATATAAATAAAGGAAGATATATTTCTAATATATAGAAATATATTAGAAGGGTAGGGAATTTATTAAATAATAAAATAAATAATAGATAGATAAAATAAAGAAAGGAATTAATTTAAATCTCCTTATAGATAGCTTTCTTAATCTTTATAGCTAAATAAAGATAGCTAAGACTATAGAAAAATAAATAGTTATTAACCTGATCTATTAGATAATATTTATAGTTTTTTCAGACTAATTAGTATAGGTTAACTTAATAATATAGCTATATATAAAGTAAAGTAAGTAAATTAAAGCAAATAATTTATTAATATCTAAGGAGAAAAGCTATCTGTTATATAGTCTGACGGAAGGTTTATCTAAGTAGGTTTGCAGGTTATCGATAAGTTGATAACCCGATAAGTCGTATCCACACTTTCAGCCATACTACATGACTCTACTAGATCGACCCCCCGATGACGTTTCTTGGATCGGATCCATGGAAGTATTCTTTCTATTCTTTCTTGGCTTCTTCACAGGCCGTCTAACAGATGCCGGTTACTTTCGCCATCTATATGTCGCTGGGTCTTTGTTGCTCTGTCTTGGCGTATTCATGGCCTCTCTCTGTTCTCAATACTGGCAGTTCCTCTTGGCTCAAGGCATTTGTATTGGTCTTGGTAACGGCTTGCTTTTTACGCCTTGTATGACCATCGCGGGAAGCTACTTCAAGAAGAAACGATCTCTAGCTTTTGGAATTATTTCAGCAGGCAGTGTTACGGGTGGCCTTGTATTCCCCAGCATGGTGAGACAATTGCTTCCTAGGATAGGTCTGCCGTGGACACTGAGAGCAATTGGCTTTATCCAACTCGGCACTCTCATCATTGCTGGGATATTTCTCCAATCGCACGCTCAACCTCGACATTCATCAGGGCCACTATTTAACTTGGGGACCTTCAAGAAGCTAGAGTACACATTCTATGTGATTGGTGCTTTCATGGTACGTAAAATTTCACTGATCTGGGAATTGTGCTGACGATTCAGGCTTTCTGGTCGTCTTTTTTTGCTTACCAATACATCGCCACCTTCTCGCGCGACATTCTGGGTCTGTCATACCCTTCATCCTTGGACTTGATCCTTATTCTTGGTGGTGCGGGTGGTCCCGGGCGGGTTATCCCAGGCTACTTTGGAGACAAAGTTGGTCCTGTAAATCTCTATCTATTCTGCACGCTTGTCACGGGCGTTATAACATTCTGCTGGGCGGCAGTTCATACTGTATCAGGGATGTATGCCTGGACAGTCTTCTACGGTATCACGATAGGCGGTGTCCAGAGTCTCTTTCCGGCTGGACTACTGAGTCTAGCTGATGATCCAAAGGAACAGGGGACCAGGATTGGTATGGCTTGTACTGTTGTTAGCTTTGCTACGTTGACCGGAGCCCCGATCTGTGGAGCTATTATCAGGACGCAAGGAGGAGAGTACATTGGGGCGCAAGTTTTTGCTAGTTTGTCTCTTGTCACCGCATCGATATTCCTCTTTTTGGCGAGATGGATTAGACTACGCGACTTGGGCTATGGCGCCTTTGCGGCCGTGAGATTGTGAGTGGAAGCCCATTCCACCAGCAGTGCAACGGGATGAAGGGCTTTGAGACGTTTCTAGTTCAAGTCTGGTTGATAAAATAGACTGAGATAAAATTAGCGGCCGAAAATAGATTGCTCCAGGTTGGCTCAGAGCTTGTATCGATTTCTTATGTATAGTTATCCTTCATATGAAGAGAATGCCTTGATTACTTGTCAAGGTTCCAAAATTTGATAATACTTTTTGCCCCTACTTTAATGCACTAAGGCAATAATATTGAATACAAATTTTGAACTATAAAAGGAGGTAATATACGTATACTCCAAAACAAAAATATAATGAAACAAATCCTATTTAGCCAGGACTACGATCAGCGACCTGTTAAGATAGTTAACTCACTCGTCCTCGAATAGGGAGGTACTACGATCTATCATACAGCTTCAGCAGCAGAGAGAAATAGCGACTGAGCTTGAATGCGATTCAGGGGATGTGGTACAACATAAAGCCAAGTTTTCGTAGTAGAAAGATGTTACAAAAAATGTGTAAATCTCCCATGAGATGATAACGTAATGTAAAACTAAATTAAACTAGCATACGCACAACCGCATGGAATTCTCACTGATCAGCTGCTGGCCCCTGAGAAAGCGGGACAATAAGTGATGATGGATACTCTGGCCCTGAATGAATGACGTGCATTCCGCGATTCAAGTTGGTTGGAACGCGATCCAGCGCCGGGAATTCTGGCAATGTGACTTCGTGACCTTTAACTTCCAACCTCATACTCTCGCCAGACTGGAAGATGATCCCAGATGGCCAAAGTGGGATTTCTAGTCTCACAATTTCTCCCGGTGTTATCTTCTCTTCCACATCAAGCGGATGCCATATCTCTGCTGGATAAAGCGCTTTGCTTTTCTCTGGAGTCAAGCCTGGCTCATGTTCTAGGAAATTGCGCTTTGAAGCCCTCAGGCGCCCATTTGGACCAACATATTTGAAGATGTTCCCGTGTGGTACGTCGGTCTCCTTCATCCCAGCTGGGAGATCTTCAAGCGGGATATTAATATGGAGAAGCTCGTTACCTTGGGCATCGAGCTTTCGGATAATAACATAGACGTCCATCTCGTCCGTGTCGGCACATGACATGTACAGAATTGCTCTAGAGTATCCAATTAATTCGGTATAACTGGAGAATTTGTACGAGAAGTGTGCGCCATCATCGTCCCACGAGTTAGACTGATATTGAGCCGTGCTGTTATACCCTTCTGGGGATGTTTGTAAAGTGCTGCTCGCACAGGAAACATAGAGAGTCGTGTGTTTAATCGACGGTGGAGGGTAGGCCACATCAGGCCGGTTAATAACACATGGCACATTGTAACCAAGAAGGCTGTGTCTGATAGTGGGTGTCTTTTCCCAGCCATTGTCCTTCCCAAGAAGGTATTTATCGAAGAATTTCTGCAAGTCATCGTTGGAAGAGTTTTGGTACAAGTCGTGCCATTCTTGGGTGTGGTGAATGCGAAGCCTATACTCGTAAGCAATGACTCTACCAATTTCATTCGCAAGGACTTTGGACTTTGAGTATACGGGATATGCCAGTCCTCTGGTGCTTACCATTTCTCCTTTGACATCGAGAATAGGAATCCTCTCAGTGAGCCTTCAGTGTGAAGTCCTGACGAGAAGCTGGCTAGTGCGTAAATTGGAACGTCGATGTCCTCAACTCTTGCCCGTTTATCCTTCCAGTAGGCATTCGGAAGAGGATGCTCGCGGATCATTGTTCCTGCGTCCTCTAATCTATTTTTGCCTTATTACTGTTTAGCAGAGCAGCGATAAACAGTAGCGTAAAAACTCACCGCAATATCCCTGTGAACGTAAGTCGAAGAATGCAGGATTTGGTATTCCTCCTCGACATAGGAGCTCTCGATAAGCATCGGATAACCCTTCCCATGGAGCAATAGCCTTGAGATGAGGAGGCCTCTCGGCGGCAATCAACCTAATAATGTGATCAGTCGTTCAACTTGAAGTCTTCATTAAAGCTGGTGGATAAAGCTAATGAAGTTCACGCACCACTGAGAAATTGCTAGCCACGAGTTACCGACAAGGCCAACGGCACCATTGCACCAGCTCTGTTTTGCAATCCACTCCACAGTATCATAACCATCTCGGCCTTCCTGTAAGTTGTAAGCAAACTCGATTCCAATACCGAATCCTAGATCGGCCTTACTTGTGTTCCATTTCCGTATATATTGCCGTCTGAGTCTCCAACACCACGAGGGTCTACGTTGACAATGGCGTATCCTCTTGGGCACCATTCTGCGGGGTCAGGAGCCTCGAACTTCTCTAGATCGCTAGTCCATGACTTCGGAATGCCAGCACGGAAGGGTACAGCATCCAAGCTTTGGAAGCCTATCCGAATTATCTTTAGCATCTTCTCATTGTCGAATAGTTTACTAGATCAATGGTTGGTAACGCTTTATCTTACCATTTCCTTCCTTTCCATAAGGACTCCATGCTAGCAGTGCAGGGATCGGCTGTTCTTTACTGGCAGACACAGGTCGAAAGATGTCTACCCAGATATTGGCTCCATCCCGAAGCTGGATTTTGGTGTCCTTTTCGAACACCAAGTCCTCTGGGAGGGGTCTTCGCCCAGGCGCTTTTGTCCACCCCTTTTCGAGCACCCGCGTGCTGGGGTCCAGATCGAGCCATCTCTTGCTCAAGTCATGGTTAGCTGGACGAAAGATAATATCGATGCCTTCGATAGAGTTCATCTTGTGAGTTGTTGTTGTCGTCACGTTAATAGAGTAGAAGTCTTGGTAGACGTATGAGCAAAATGAATTATGAAAATTTAAGTTACACTTTTCTGGAAGGAGATGGCAGGAGACGTACTGGTGCCTTGTAGCCGAACAAAGAATACCTACAGGTTCCGTGGTATATGCTGCCTAGGCTTCAACTAGGTAGGTAGGATAGAATATGTAGGTGTCGTACAAAAGAACCAATTAGGCCGCACGATAGTAAGCACTCGAGATGACGGGACCAAGCCTCATACCTATCCTGGTAACACTACGCTACCCCTGCTCGGCGTTGTCCCATCCACCAAGGCGGCAATTAATAATAAGTCAAAGCCCACGAAATCCACCGGAAATCCTCCATCCCACATCCCACCGGTTGGTGCCACCGGAATCCCGCTGACTCATCCTAGCTTGCGCGAAGATCAGGGAATTATGTCGAGACTTGATGAGCCATTCCAAAGAGCTTACCGCGCTGCATATCTCTTGGGCTGTGAGCGCGCCAGTGGATCCCTGTGGCAGGGCCCTTGAAGTCACAGATAAAATTCCTTGCAGCGATACATTGAACATCAAGTGACGATGAATTCCATACCCTCTATCTATAAGCCAAGATATTGCAGGCATTTAGATTGACCCCATCTCTTCCATTAATATCGCCATAGCCCTATGAGCAGGAACAGGCTTAGCAGGGCCTTCTTCTAAGAATAAGAAAATTAGTTTATATACCTCAGGAATTAGAGGGGATTGGATCTTACTATAGAATTTGTACTTCTTATCAAGCTCTTCAATAGTCATTGTCGCCTCATCTCTTAAGAGCTCATCAAAAAGCTCAGCGGATGAAAATGATGCGTTTGGGGTGTAAGGGTGATGACGTTCAAAGTCGAACCTAGGCAGAACAAGTTCAGAGGCCTTGGGACGCATTTCATAGTCCGCAGTGGGTGGTTTGGTGTCGGTGGACGCAGGAGATGTGGCCGAAGTAGTTGCTTCAACAGCTATGCCAGAGCATTTTGAGTTATCTTTCGCCTTGGATTGAGGCATTTCGTCTAGTCGAAGCAGTGATCTATGATGAAGAAGGAGAGAATTCAAATTTAAGATGTGAGAGACGGAGGAGACTGTCTAGATGTAAGTCATGTAATTCTTGGTGTGTCAAAGCGTTTGAAACGGAGACGACTGTACGAAAGAATCTAGGCGAATAGGGTAATTTAAATAGGAATCCGATGAGCAGCCTGTCTTGACGACAGGTGAGTCATGGTGTGAAAGTTTGTAGAGTTTTCCTTTATGACTACAGCCTTGGGCTAGCGAAGGTTATTTTTGTCTTTTGTATTCATTGTGTTGGGATGTCGGGTGGGGTCTTCTCATCACTGTTTCTAACTTTATGCCCGAACTCTCATCTGACCAGGCATGTCATGGGTACAGACTTTTCCTGGTGGTTTACACTCTGTGGAACGTGGAGAAAATATTAAACCGTTGACTAATGATCAAACGCTATATAAAATCCTCGTCTGATTCATTGTTTTGACACATCGGGTTTGTAATCTTCCATTGGTGTTTTTGACTTTGTCCTCGGATTCTCCCGTAAAAGTTCCTTGCTAATGAGAATTCCGCCTAGTATAACATACAGTCAGTGCCACCACAAAGTTTTTTGCTCGCTATTCTTCTCCTCTCACTTCAGTCTCCTTACTCTTGCTACTGTTTGCGGTCAGTGGGCTTATTTTACTATCATGTATGGCTTCTCCATCCAAGATAACCTCATCAGTATCACCGAAGATCTTTGCCATGTCTTCAAGAGGAATACCCTTTGTTTCAGGCAGGGAAAAGTACATGACTATAGTGCCCAAAATAGTGACGATAATGAACACCTATGAATCAATCAGTGAAAAGGACAGCCTTGAGTAGAATGGATAAAGTCATATTACAAGATAGTATTTCCAGCCAATGTCAGCAAAAGCGGTTGCACTAACTTCGAGGTAGACGAGGTCTGTCAAAGCAATCACGGCAATGACCACGCAGACACCTTTTGCCCGGATATGATTTGGGAACAACTATCAGTAGTGTTAGCAGCGCTCACGGCAGGTGAAGAATTATTAATGATTTACTTCGCTGAAAAAGGTGTAGCCAGCAACATCGATGCCCATAGCATACACCGCTGGAAACAGATAGAGCGCAAACACGCCAGCAGATAAGCCAGCTTTATTTGTGCCTGCCTCTGCGTACAAGGCAACCATAGCTGTTTCGATGGCCAAAGCTACAGCGCATCCGAGCAAGCTCATAAGAATAAGGGGCCGTCGGCCAAAGCGATCCATCACAGCAGCGCCTAGGAAGTTGAACACAGCAGCAGTAGTGTTGGATCCGCACTGAAGAGCGAGTTGGTCCTTTGTATCAAAACCGAGGCTCTTGTAGATTGTTGGTCCATAGTTGTTAATGACGAGAACCGCAGTGCTTTGCCCAATGAATCCGAAACCCGAAGCGATGAGGAGACGCTTGCGGTATGAGCGACGCTGAAACAACGCCCGCCACGATGAATCGAGCGTCTTTTCCAAGTTGGACTGGGCCTGCATTTGGTTGAATTCCTCCCGTGCGAATTCTTGTTCTGGGTCGTCTTTGGATGTGTGTAGTTTGAGAATGACGTCGCGTGCTTCGTCGGCACGACCTTTCATCAGAAGCCAGCGTGGAGACTCGGGTACAAACATGAGGATGCCAAGAGTCAAAATTGGCCACACAAGGGCTATTCCAAGTGGTCCTCGCCACTGTAAGGCTGGTTCTTTGGCATAGAAAAAAGCCATACCCATATAGGAAGCCAAGGAGTAGCCTACAGCCACATTGACTCCGTTCATGCCAACGTAAAATCCTCTGAGGTTTGCAGGGCTCAACTCGGATGTGTAAATTGGAGCTATCCGGTCAATTATATCAGCGTTTCTTGCTCACCAATGTGTCCTAGTTGTTACTTACTGCATGCCAAGAAACCCCAGGCTCCCGCTCCGGCGAAGAAACGCCCAATAATGAACATGGTAACATTTACAGAACCACAAAGAATACTTCCGCCTATTAAACCTAAAAGAGCACAGTAGATGGAACTGATCTTGCGGCCGTATTTGTCAAGTATCCAACTAGTCATGAGAATGCCAATACAACCGCCAGCCTGTGTGCGCATAATTAGTCAACGAACCAAAGGAAGGATAAAAGGGTCTCTGCTCTTGACCTGAAAAACGCCATTTATCGCACCAATAATTTGGTTTTGTTTCGCCGAGGGTATACCAGATGAGTCCACAAGACTCATGGCTTGCAGAAAGGAGGGCTCGCCGAGCACTGGACCGATGATACTGTTCACCTTTAGTGCTTCTGCTTAGAGCCTACTTGGACCATAAACTTACGACGAGGGATACCCGAAGCCAAGCTGCCCCAATGATACGGCCCAGCATAACAGGAAATTTCGAAAGTTGAATCCAAGCTCTCTGGTAGAAACCATTTTGAACGAGAAAAGTGTAAACGATATTGAGAAAGTTTTAATCAAATCAAATTGTGAGCATGAGTATAAGACTTTGCGATGATGAAAAGCCTCGAAATGATTATATCTATATATATTGCTTTCTAGGGGTAAGTCTCAGAAGGGGGTTTCATCGCGGGGTTTAGCTTTTTGCGGGGAAGCCTACAGAAGCTGGTTTATTCCGGTGGAATTCTCCAAAAACATCCCTTCCAAAGAGACGCCGCAGTTTGGCCCTTACCCCGAATTCTCTTGTGCTTCCGGTGTGGAGCCAATGCCACTGCATCCTTGTACTTCCATGAATGATTGTACGAGACCCTAGTAGGACCTAAGATTTCCGTCTTGCTCAGCCTCAATTACACGTCTTCCTTACCTCGTGTTCTTGAGTGAGTAAGGAATAGATCGTACACTAGTTAACCATGCTATAATTTTCTAAGTAAGAAGAGTTACTACAAAATAGACTGCTAGTGAAGAAATGGCTCACAACTAACATCTTGCGAGAATATGACTGAATAGTATCCGATGATTAGACGTAGACATCGGGTTTCTCAGATTTGTTCTTGGAAGTGATTTCCACTAGACCCAGCATCATATCACACCGCAAATAGGGTAATTAGTAGAATCCCTGAGGTCTATACAATTACATGGTGCTGCGCTAGCCACCTTCTCAGTGCTTCTTTCTGCAGATCGCGACAATAGTCGGCTAATAGGCGCCATGGCCTGAGTCGCTATCGGAAAAGGGGTCCTCATCCTAATTGACCAGCACGTCCATTGCTGAATGTCACCGTAGTAATCTAAGAGTCTTTGCATCATTTTGGGGTAGATATTCACATTAATGTGTAGATACTCATCTAATGGTAGACACTTTTAGCCAGAACTCTCACTATTGACACGATATCTGTGTCCGAGCGTGACTAGTATCAGAGAACAGTATCCGGGATGCAAAGTGTGTCAAGCAAGGAATCCAATCTATCGTGTACTTGGGAGCATAATTGATAACTGTACGGCTTGGAACTTTTTTACGTAGGAGTGCATGCGTCAGCCGTGCCCCTCATCCCTCCCTGAACCCTCAATGGCATCTGCCCCCGTTTCCCTACAGTCATATGATATTAATTTCACCTAAGATCGACCTACAACCCAAGTCACTATATAGCTATATATAACTTTAAATACTAATTTTATAGTTAATTAAATAAATTAGAAATAGAGATATATATTTTTATAATTACTAGGCTTAGGAGATTCTAATAGTATATATTAATACTTAGTATACTACCTATATATATAGATATATATATATAATCTTATATATATTAACCTTATAAGCTTATATAAGAGGGTAGGTTTAAAATCCTCCTAGACTTTAATAGTAATCTTATATAGCTATTATAATAATTTATTATTCTTTAGTATATTTAAGAGCTCGGGGTAATATTTATAAATTCTTTTTTTAAGTAGTTTCTAAAGATTTTTAATAGGATTAAGATTAGAGCTATATAATAACTAATTAAGTATTTAAAACTTATTCTCTTAAAGCTAATTTCTTAATTAATATTATATAATTTAAACTATATATATAGAGATATATTATAAATAAAGACCTCTATTAAACTATATAAAGTTATATATAGAGTAGAACCTTATAAAAGCTATAACTAATAAACTATAATTTATTATTTAGATAGAGTAATAGATAAATAATAA